TGCCGAACACCACCACATCTTTGCCAACTCTACAAGGAATCAAAGGAAAAAGAGAAGGAAACAAACCTTATTGAACAACTGGATAATGCTACAAACTTGGGTGTATTGGATTTCAGTGAAGACTTTGCTAATAATTAAGGGCAAACAGTTGCCCCGCCAGTATGAAGTGAAAATTATGTATGGGTCTTAATGTTGTAATAATAATGGATTGGTGTATGATCCTTGTATCTAAGTGTATGGTATCAATGTATGAGTGTATGTCTGAATGAGTAGTCTTGATGTTCTAATAATAATAATAATGATATTGTATGATCTTATAATGAATCAATGTATGGCATTATGTTTTTGAGAGTATGAACTTGATAATTGTGATAATATTTATGTTTTGATTGTCACTTTTAATTTTAATGTTCTCTACTTGATAGTAACTGATTGATTGTTTTTTTGTTTGAAGTTTTGACATGAAAATTCGACAAAAAGGGCATGTTGGAGATTTTTGTATTGCAGACAGTAGCACTACACATACTATTCTAAAAAACAGAGAATATTTTTCAGAGTTAATGCCAACAAAGGCGATTGTGTATACAATATCAGGTCCAACGGATTTGATTGAAGGAATTGGTAAAGCCAATGTCACATTGCCAAAAGGAACACGAATTGTGATTAATGAAGCCCCGTTTTCACCAAATTCAACAAGAAATTTGTTGAGTTTTGATGATATATATCGAAATGGGTATGACTCCCAATCAATGACTGTTAACAATGTGAAATATTTGAATATCATTATTTATGAATCGAGAAAGGCAAGAATATTGGAGAGATCGCCACTTTCTAATGGTCTGCATTATACAGATATAAATGTGATTGAATCACATATGGCAATGAAAGAAAAATTCTTCAATCATTCTGTAATAAACTTATGGCATGAAAGATTAGGGCACCCAGGATCTATAATGATGCGAAGAATTATTGAAAATACACATGGTCATCCCTTAAAGGGAAAAAGAATCCTCCAAAGTAATGAAATTCCATGTGAAGCTTGTTCTCTTGGAAAATTGATAATGAGACCATCACCATTAAAGATTCAAAATGAATCACCTATGTTTCTTGAAAGAATCCAAGGTGATATATGTGGACCGGTACATCTACCATGTGGACCATTCAGATATTTTATGGTATTAATAGATGCATCTAGCAGGTGGTCACATGTGTGTTTACTGTCAACCCGGAATGTTGCATTTACAAAATTTCTTGCGTAAATTATAAAATTACGAGCTCAATTTCCTGATTATGCAATCAAAAGGGTTAGACTCGACAATGCTGGTGAGTTTACATCTCAAGCATTTAATGATTATTGTATGTCTACTGGAATTACTGTTGAGCACCCTGTGCTCACGTACATACACAGAATGGTTTAGCAGAATCATTAATTAAAAGACTACAACTCATTGCTAGACCATTAATCATGAGAACAAAACTATCAATTTCTGTTTGGGGCCATGCGATATTACATGCTGCTTCTTTAATTCGCATAAGACCAAGTGCAGATCATAAATACTCTCCCCTGCAATTGGCTTTGGGATATGAACCAAATATTTCGCACCTTAGAGTTTTTGGTTGTGCAGTATATGTACCCATTTCACCTCCACAACGTACAAAATGGGCCCTCAAAGAAAATTGGGGATATATGTTGGTTTTGAATCAGCTAGTATCATCAGATATCTTGAGCCTTAAAAGGTGATGTTTTTACTTCACGTTTGGCCGATTGCCATTTTAATGAAATTATTTTTCCAATATTAGGGAGAGAAAAGAAAGAATTGGCAAAGGATATTACATGGAATCAACCAACTCTTTTGCATCTTGATCCTCGCACAAAACAATGCGAGATAGAAGTTCAAAAGATTGTACATTTGCAATCAATTGCCTGATTCATTTACTGACACAAAAAGAGTGACTAAATCATATATACCAGCAGCTAATGCTCTCGCTCGTATTGAGATTCCGAAAGAAAAAATCGATGATAAAGTCACTAGCGAGTCTAAACCACGACTGAAGCGAGGTAGACCAATGGGTTCAAAGGATAAAAATCCTCGAAAAAGAAAGGGAACTGTGAATGACATTGATACTGAGAAAATATCTCCTGAGATAACGAAGAATGAAGAAAATTCCCAAGAAGATGATACAAAAAGGATAAATGAAGAAATCTCAATCAACTATAACAGTACAAATATACTGTTAAATAGAGATGAAGTTGAATGTGACAATGAGATTTTTTGCTTCACAGTTGTAAATGAAATTATGAATGAAAATGATGATCCTGAGCCAAAATCAGTTATTGAGTATCAAAATAGACAAGATTGGATAAAATGGAAAGACGCTATGTAAGCTGAATTAGATTCGCTTAACAAGCGAAATGTTTTCAGGTCAGTTGTTCTTACTCCAACGGCTGTCAAGCAGGTATGATATAAGTGGGTTTTTATACAAAAATGGAATGAGAAAAACGAGATTATAAGGTACAAGGCTAGATTAGTAGCACAAGATTTTTCTCAAAGATCTGAAATAGATTATGACGAGACATATTCTCCCGTTATGGATGCAATTACTTTCAGGTTTTTAATCAGCCTTGCAGTTTCTAAAAAATTAGAAATACGTCTTATGGATGTTGTTACTGCTTATTTGTATGGATCATTTGAAAGTGATATTTATATGAAAATCCTCGAGGGATTTCAAATGTCGAAAACTCTAAGTGCAAAACCCAAAGAAATGTATTTTATCAAAATTCAACGATCATTATATCGGTTAAAGCAGTCTGGACATATGTGGTATAATCGATTAAGCGATTATTTGATAAACAAGGGATATACAAACAATGTCCTGTGCCCATGCGTTTTTATCAAGAAAACAACATCCGGATTTGCCATTATAGCTATCTATGTGGATGATTTAAATATCATTGGAACGTTAAAAGAAATTGATGAGGTGGTTGCATACTTAAAGGGGGAATTTGAGATGAAAGACCTTGGTAAAACTAAGTATTGTCTTGGTTTACAAATTGAGCATATGCACAATGGAATATTTGTGCATCAGTTAAATTACACAGAAAAGGTCTTAAAACGTTTTAATATGGATAAAGCAAACCCTTTAAGTACTCCTATGATCGTCAGAACACTCAAAACTGAAAAGGATCCATTTCGCCCCCTGACAAGGATGAAGAGATTCTTGGTGCCGAAGTACCATACCTAAGTGCAGTTGGAGCTCTAATATATCTTGCTAACTGTACTAGACCTGACATTTCTTTTACAGTTAATTTATTAGCAAGACATAGTTCGTCACCAACAAGAAGGCATTGGAACGTGATCAAGCACATATTTCGTTATCTTCGGGGAAGTAGTGATTTAGGCTTATTTTATCCTAACGACTCGAAACAACATTTGGTAGGTTATGCAGATGCAGGTTATTTATCTGATCCTCACAATGGAAAATCTCAGACTGGATATGTATTTACATATGGAGGAACTGCAATTTCTTGGCGTTCACAGAAGTAAACATTGGTTTCTACTTCTTCAAATCACGCAGAAATAATTGCATTGCACGAAACTAGTAGAGAATGTGTTTGGTTTAGGTCGATGATATAGCACATCAAAACGTCGTGTGGTCTACCAGTCGAGAAAAGTCCAACTATCTTATACGAAGATAATTTTGCATGTCTTCAACAGTTAAAAGAAGGATATGTCAAGAATGATCGGACGAAACATATACCTCCTAAATTCTTCGCATATACTCAAGAGCTCATCAAGAAAAATGACATTGATGTTCAATATGTCATGTCAAATAACAATTCAGCTGATCTCTTCACGAATGCGCTTCCTACTGCAACATTTAGAAAGCATTTTCAAACATCAGTATGCGAACAGTTACTGATGTTATTATCAGGGGGAGAAAATTACGCACTGTACTCTTTTTTCCTTGGCTCAAGTTTTTTTTCCCACTGGGTTTTTTTTTGGCAAGGTTTTTAACGAGGTAGTATTTAAGCGTAATCAATAAAAATTTTGCCATCCAAGGGGGAGTGTTGTAAAATGAATGGCAAAATATATATTAAATGTGAGCATGCATTAAGCAAGGAATACTATTAAGTATAGTACTTTGATTTTGATGTAAACCTACTTATTATATATTTACAAAATTGCTATTAGATGATGGCTATAAATAGGAGGCTTATGTAGTAGTAAAATTGCACTAAAAATATACTCCCTCCGTCCCATAATTATTGTCCAGTTTTACTAAAATGAAAGATTTTATTTTTAGTCAAACTTAACTATATTTTACCTTGAACAACCGGATATACCCCTACATAAGTAATTGTTTAACCACAAAGATTTTAATGGATAATGTTTTTTACTAAGGACAAATGTGTAACTTGATCCATAAAAAGTTAAATTGAACAATAATTTTGGGACAAAATTTTTTAGGCAAAGTGAACAATAATTATGGAACGGAGGGAATACATAAGTAAACTTCCTCATACTTTGCTTCTTACCTTATTTCTTCTTTTAAAATTATTAATCACTTTTTCTCTCCTTTTAAGCATTATAATTATTTCATAACATTTCAATTATTATAAAGTTATTATATTAAAGTCTCTAGTAGAGAAGTTATATAAATTAAATATATCATCTCCTAAATAAATAATTTACTAAAACTTTTGCTTGGAACATTATATTGGGCATTAGTTTTCGAACATATTATTTTTTTTTGAAAAAAAAAAGGCTAATGAATTTTCTGTAAAACTACCTTCTCCAACTACTTTCCCAGAGGTAGGTCTAGTTTCGGTACAAATTTTTCATGCGCTAAGTACTACTCAATTAGTCAACGAATCAGATTTCCCGGATTCGCTAAAATCCCCAAAATCCCCCTTCTCTAGGCCCCCAAATCAGAAAACCCTCATTTAGCATCATTAAAAATCCGTCATATTCTTCTCGATTTGATCTTTTAATGGAAGCATGAGGTTCTTGGAAGCCCTAATTGTAAAGCCAGAGCTGGGCTCAGTTTCATCCTCAACCTTGCCTGGCGGAGCAGGAGGAGGAGGTGGACTCCCCGGAGGGTGGCTCTGGGAGTGCCATGGGATATGGCATACTCTGTTTTTGATAGTGTCCTCCGGTTTGTTTTTGCTGTTTTTAGCATTCCAAGCCAAGAAAAGTGTTGCGAAACTCTCTAATGGCAGATCCCATATCATCATCGCTTACTATGCTTTCCTCTGGCTCGTTACCGTTCTCAATTTGCTCTGGTGTTCACTTCAGGTATGTGTTTTTGGGCTCAATGTATTCATCGTTGCTGTTCTGTTAAAGAAACCGTTTGATATTATTGTTTGGCCTGATGGGACCGTTTGGTTTGTGTCTTGTCAAACCCTGAACTAAGTGGGTGAGAATTTTATTGAAGATTATGAAAGGATGTATGCATATTACCATAACATTCTGTCTGGTCTTCTTTTTTCCCAATTAATTTTCGGATTTTTGGATGTCAAAATGAGTTTGCATTTAGCTTGCAGCTGCTAGACATCACTAGAAAGTAACGATTTTCAGTTGTGATGATAGTGTTGTTGTTTTTTAGTTGATAATTCATTAAAAATCTCAAAACTGTAGTCGTAAATATGAATGTGGTTGTTTTTAAAAGTTTAGTCCGTTTCGTCTTCGGAAATCCTCAATATATCTAGATAGTTTATGTGATTTCATTGGCCCTCTGGAGCCTTATTGATTGCAGTGTTTTAGTTGGGCCAACAGAGAAATGATCTATTAACTTTGCCTACTTAAGTGCTCTCTTAAGATGGGATTTATTGATTACTCATGTCATGGATGGTCTAATGTAATATTTTTCGTAACCAGTTGTGGTTTCATCTCGCAGGCATGGGAGTGTTCATCAGGCAAAGAGGTTGCCTGGAGCGTTTTATCTTTGTTTACCACATCAGGAATGCTGTTTCTTGAAGTAAGCTTAATGGCCTTTTTGCTGCAAGGAAATTATGCTAGTGGACAGGAAGCTTTAACACGGACATTTGGAATATCAGGCTTCATTGTCGGTGTAGATATATTTCTCAAGGTATCCTTCTATGTCACCCTTAGACTGGATATATTTCAATCGTTCAATTGCAGAATAGTTTTGGTTTTAGATTTCCAGATTGTGCTCTATTCTTCTGATAGGAAAAAAAATGAAAATAAAAATAAAAATAAACAAAAAAAAAAAAAAAAAAAAAAAAAAACCTATAAGGTTTGTGTATAGATGCACAAGTGTTTACAAAACAAAATAGAAATGGAACCATGTATTGTTACATACGTTGGATAGGCTTTCTAGCTTGTGAGGAAGTTCATTTAGTTATCATTAGGATTCCTTCTTTTGATAGTGGTAACTATACTATTCAGCATTTTCAGCTTACAAAGCCGACATTCAATTTTACTTGACTTCGGGGTTACATCCGGTATTTGTTCTCGTTGCCTTTCTTCATGCTACATAAGACCTGAGAAACATTTGATTTTTGCTACTTTTTAGGAGGCCTAGTCTCTGTGGAAGAATCATTTATCTTAGACTGCCCTATATGAAGTCAGAGACTTTTCATATGTCTCTCTTTATGTGCTATTCTTTCTAAAAATGCTCGAACTTTTCTGCAGCTCATGCTAATCTTTTTGTTTTACTTGGTTTCAGATTTCAGTCTCCTAAATCTCTTTTTGGTAGCCAAAATATTTGTACATTGCTTCATCTCATTATTTGATCGAATTACAAGTTAATCAGTTTTTGAACCTGGAAATTTCTTCCTTTTTTTCCCCTCCCTCTGAGAAAGCTGCTCCAGCATACTTAGTCCTCTAGTTTTGCTCTCTTTCTTTAAACTTGTTCATGAATTTATTGAAAGTTGATTACTGACTTGAAAAACCATATAAAAGAATACAACACAACTATACCTTATCCCATTCTGACTGTCAGCTATGTGGATTTGATCTCGCCGTCAAGTTCCGTTCACATCATCTCCAAAAAGTAAAGAGTTCAAATCTTTGTCAAAAGTTTTTACCTTTCTTGTTTCTTAATGATATTGAAAGAGCTTGATCTCAACACTTGATCCATATGGCCAAGTCGCCAAAATGGGATGATTGACTTAGATATTCTTTTGTTTCTTAAGTAGTTTGTTCCATCCCCTTTTGCTTTGATTTAATGATTAGAAACTAAGGAGATTGAATAAAACCAATTGTTATCTGCAATAATCAACTTTACTGGTTACAATTTTGCGACATCCTTGACTGGTTGGATGTCACATTTAGATTCGGTTGAGTTTCTTTTACAGCTTCTAATAGGATTAGATATTATGAAAGAATGAATTTATCTTTTTCAGAGTACTCGCTTCTAAACTCACAAAATGGTTATAGACATACTTCATATAGTTTTGCTTCTCCTTCAGGAATTGGTTACTAGTTATCTGTTCAATGGTCGTTTGCTTATCAGTCTTTATGGTATCATTTTGAAGATTGTAATCTTAGTCTAATGATTTGAAATGTTCTTCTATACTAATATTATTGAAACTGAGAAAAGTCCGAGTGTGAATGAAATGAGTCAAACCTGTTTCCGAACTGCCCCAACCTTACACACTTACTTCATTGCCTGGGTCCCTTAGATTGAGAGTAAGAAAAGTTTGAGAAGTAATAATACGTAATTATTGCCGTGAGATCGTGGGGTTAAAACAATAGGACAACAGCAAAAAAATAAAATAAAATGTAGAGGCTTATTAGTAGGAATTAGAGTAGACTGATTTCTCTACTTTCTGATTTCATTGGAGGCTCTTCAATTTCCCCCTTTTTTTTATTTTTTTGTGAATCTGCTCACAGTCCTGTTGTAGCTGGGTCTAGTTTATTATCTTTCATTTGCCCTGGTTGAAGAATGAAGTACTTCTACCTCTTACCACCGTAAAAGCCTAAAAGCTACATTGTCAGTGATAAATAGCTTTCTGATCGTGAATCAGCTTATCTCCTGCCACGAAATTGTTTTTTGCTTATTTATGCTTTGGCATTCTCTAGGTTTCTTGACCCATCAATATATGTGCTTCTCAGCGGTCGTTGGATTCAGAAAGAACTCTCCAAGTTTGGAATTTGTTAGGCTCTGACCACTACATCTCTTTCTGTTCATTGTAGGGTATCTACACATTTGGATTTGGAGTACCATTGTTCATTGATAACAACGAAGAGTCTCATAGAGTGAAATGGGGTTTATGGGTAGTTCACAAGTTACTTGTTACTGGAGTTTATGGCGTCATATTCTTCCTCTACCGGTCTAGATGGAGAGAGAGATTGCCTGGTAAGTAGCTTCATAAGTATGTGTGGAAGTAGCTAGACTCGAACTTTTCATTAACACTCTGATTTGAGTCGGTTTTCTGTTTGCTTATTTGCAGCTAGACCTGCATTCTACAACTATATAACCATCATGTTTGGTTTGAATGCACTGGCGTTGGTTGCCTGTGCACTTGCTGCAAATGGAGCTGCATTTGGCCTCTGGTAGGCCTTCTTTTGGTTAAGATTTTTTATATGTTAGGTTTTTCTTCTCAGACATCTTATGAAGATATGTATTCTCACTGGCAGGTTGAACGAGGGTGCTGTCATCTGCTACCACGCCTTTTATCTTCCGCTACTCTATGTGACATTTCTTGCTGACTTTTTCCAGGTTATTTGAAATCCTTTTATCCTAGATATGTGTCTCGTAAAAATGTTCATTTGTTTTGAAATGGCTTTCTGCAATTTGTATATTGATTTTTTTTGTCCTGTTGGATTAATTAGGAGGAAGATTTGAACCTAGAAAATGTGTACTACTCGGAGATGAAAGATGCAGGCTTCTTTGACACAGACTGGGAATGAAGGCAGCAAGTGGTAAACTGAGATGAGTTTGTTGTAAATCTGTACATAAAATTAGGTCCTTTTGCACTTAGTCTCTTTTGTAATCTTCTTCTTGTACCGCATCACCTGCTGAAGAAGGTTTAAAATCTGATTCTGGTTTCTGCAACCTATTTCATTGTCCTGGTGGAACTGTGAAATCAATATAAAAGCATGTTTGCTTCCTTTGCCTTGGTACCTCAATAATGAAGGAAAAAAACTGAAGGGAGAAGTGAAATCCTGTGAACAAATGTATATATGATTTCATGATTGAATAAAGCCTGAGCATTTATTAAGCAGTCGATCAGTTAATCAATTGTGCATACTCACTTATGGATTACATAATCAAAAGCAGTCCTGTTATTATTTTGGGTAACAAACGTGAACTGAAGGTCACTGACCTTAGTTGGAGCCCCTAGTAAAATATACAGCTAAAGAGGCATTATGATCTAACGAACTGGAAATAATTCCGCATCTCCGTTTGCCAATGAATCAAATGCAGGAAGTGTTTCTATATGGCACATCAAAGACCTTCTCGGACAGCCCCTTCAAGCCAAAGTTAGGAGGAAACTATGATTTACCGGAGAGAACTTAATGAACTCTTGCAGTTCATTGATGTGTGGACTGATCAAAGAACAACATGCTTGCATGTTATAACTAAAACATTCCTCATTATCTTAGTAGCAATGTGCAAATACTAGATCAAAAAACTAATCACCACCAAAGAGGCACTTGTAAAATGGAACTAGACAAGCGCTTAAGCATATGAGATTCAAAAGAAACCGAAAGAGGCATGCAGACATCATCACGACAAAGGATTTATTCAACAGAAGGACGGAGAATAATGAAATGATTCAACTGAAGAGATTCATCATGCGGAAGAATAAAATTGTGAAATCTGAAATTCAAATGTATACTCATACTGTTGTAATTCCTCCATATATGAGATGCAAACTTAGGGATGTTTTCAAAGTTAGAAAATTACAAGCCACATAATAAGAGGTTAATTACTACGGATGTTAGCAAGAGATCACAAGCCTTCTTAAAAATTTAAACTCAGGGTCAGTGTATATCTATCTTACAATCTCTAAACTTCAGCCAAGTAGTTACAATACTGGAAAAAAAAATGGAATGAACAAAAGCATGGACTCCTATAGAGGACAAAATTTTATATTTTGATTAACTAATCAAAAACTGATTATACACGTATACATCTCTGTAATGAACACTATGTAATGTACAATTACATATTCTACATCTTTCCAAAAACTACATATTCTACAACACATGAGCACCAAAAAAAACAATGGAAATCTATGGATATGGCTACATCCATCCTTGGGATAGAAAGCCAACAATGGGAACCAGTTGGGAAGAGATATGGAACCCTAAAAAATATGACTATTTTTTACAGAAGTGGAAAGAGGAAATAAAAAAAACACAAAAATTTTCACTCAACTCCGAGGAATATCAAAAATTTGGTTGAGTTCTATTTCTCTATCTCTGGACTCCATTTGATTCCCAAACTTCTCTACTTCCCTTTGAATCAAAATGTCGTCGGGTCTAATGTACTGTTTGAAAGTTTTTACAACAAAACGAGGCAGCAAAGCTGCAACAGTAATGCCAAGCAGGCACAGCCAGAATAGTCCGGTACCAGCGATCACAAAAAAGGCCCTGCAGATAATTCATTCAAAGTTTATCATATAAATACTCGTATGATGGGATATGCAAATGCAAATGCAGAATGGATTTTGATAGATTTCAGTGCAAAACAGATAGCCGAGAAGGGATCGACATTTAAACAGCATCTGGACAAAATGGAGACAGACACAGAAGCATGTTCACAACTTAAGATGGCATTGATTAACAGGCCAAACAGTGATACTAACGCTTCTCACCAGAAAAGATATTCTTGTTATGAGTTTAACAACAATCCGACAATGTCATGACTTTACACCCAAAGGAAGAATGAAATGATGTGCAATTATGCAGTTTTAATGAAACATATGCTTTGGTGAATAAAAGCTTTGAAATTAATTGAGGATCAATTGTAAAAAAGGAACGGCTAACGACAATATTTTCCATCATATTAAGTTATTAACATTAGTTAACCCACAACCACAGCATCTCTTCCCATACAAGCACAAAGTATAGTAGAAAGGAGGAAGCAAATACCAGTTAGTACTTTTCTTAAGCAGGAGGTTACTATTTTCATGAACATTGGATATTCAAATTAAATAGAAAAACAAATCACAAATCATTTTTTCAGTTCCTCCACCTAACGATGATTAAGTTTCCATTTTTCTATCAATAGCACTGCCAACTTTCTTGAAACCCTTATCTGAGTACATAGGTAACTAATATGCCATTGGCGTTCAAGTCAAAGGCTTGGTACATTACTTCAACCATATTCCTTCTTTTGAGCCAGATAGTACTCAAGGGTGTACAAATTATTGACTAGTTTTATGGCTTCTACCACGTAACAAGGATGATCCGGAAAAAGGGGGAACATAACACAAATTAACAACCCACCAAAAAAAAAAAAAAAGAAGCAGGAAAAGAAAAAGAAGAAAGGAAAAGAATAAGCTAGATAGGTTCTCACCAGTAACCGAATAGGAAAGGCAGAGCGTCGATAATCATCACACAAATGAAAGTAGCAACAACAGATCCCCAAATGACAGCATGAGTAATCCAATACCATCTGATGACGTCCATGGCCAAGTGTAAGTTGACCACTATTACAACTGCAAGAGTCCAGAGATCTCCTAAGCTTGAAACATCAACGTCACTTCGCCAGTATGCAAGGAGAGGAAGAAAGAAGACAGCTACACTTTGCCACAAGGTGTCCATCATAGTTACCCAAAACAATGTCGCATTGTAGCCTTCTTCTTTTTGTCCAGCACCATAAAGTTGAGGATGCTTTAACAGAGTCCTTCTACTTAAATCCTTATCAAGAATGCCAACCACAATCGTGGGCACCGCTGTGTAGACAATGGAGTACAACATACTGCTCCAATCTGTCATAGCCGTTGTGAGAGTGAAATCTGTGAAGAGTACATACCTGGGCAAAATACATAGAAATATTGTCAGAAAAGTAGTTCAGGTTGTCAACTAATTTGTTTCCAGGAAAGGGCCATAAAGAATGAATAGATTGAGTTTATTACTTCAAAGAAATCCCAAAATGAAGGCAGCCAAGTCATGTATGACTCAGCTTATAGGGGCTCACATAAAGGCACTTAACTGGATCTCATATAACAGACTTTTTTGTCACTGTGGTAAGATATCTTTAAGCAAAATTTTGCCTTGTTACAACTCTATCCAGAAAAAGTTAATCCAGCCACCAAAGGAACACTTACCAGAATAAGACAAAAACAAGTATCGCATTCCGGTAGAAGTTGTAAAGTATCATGTAGCTTATCCGCTGATAATTCCAGTGTCCATGAACAAACAAAAGAGGAACTAAGAATCTGAACTGGCCCATTGCAAAATCTGATGCCATTACAGCTTGCCTACCCTCTTGGCCACTGATGCCGATTCCCACATCAGCCATTTGGATCATAGAAACATCATTGGCTCCTAAAGAAATAAAACAAGTCACTCTGTAACTACACCAAAACAACATAACAGAAGGCTTTTCGTATTCTTCTTTCTTCTTATATGAAAGTTGACAAGCAACAAATTATTGAAATCATTATCTGGCATAGATGTGATTACCATCTCCAATGGCAAGAGTCATGTCATCAGTTCTGTTCTTAATGAGGGCAACAATGCCAGCTTTCTGAAGCGGTGCAACCCGACAACATAAAACCACAGTACATCTACTTGCCAATTGGAATAGCTGAAAATAATTGATGAAAATATAATTTAGAAAAAATGAAGAAAGGGTAGTAAAAGAGAGATACATGCTTAGTCAAGCTTTTACCTGTTCTTCTAGCTCACTGTCAAGGATATGAACAAGGCTTGTTCCATCAATAATCAGCGCAAGTGGATTAACATCGCCCTCGTAAATGCCTCCTGTAGCTTGTACGTTAACAGAGTCAACCAAATGATTCCGAGATGTGATCAATGCGTCTTCCAATGCCTTTCGACATGATTCCCTAGACTTACTGTTAATAATAATCTGGGTCATCTGGCTTGTCAATAGCTTAGAGGAAAAGCCAATTGAAATAGCAGTCTCTTGTTTGTCACCCGTCAAAACCCAAACTTTCATGCCAGCTGTTCTTAGAGACTCTATTGCCTCTGGTACACCCTGCTGCAGTTTATCCTCGATCCCAGAGGCACCTAATACCTTAAGGTTGCTTTCTACATTGCTAGCAACCTTACGAAGTAAAGCTGCTCTTCCAATCAAAGCAGTGCTTGCTGTCTCATAAGAAGATTGCCACTGCTCAAATTCAGAAGCACTCAACTCTCGCATTCCTATCACAAGAGTCCTCAATCCCATTGAAGAATAAGAGTGAAGGTGTCCTTCAGTAGCACCTACTATGTCCATATTTAATGATTTGTCAATAACACTAAACATTGACGTATCAGCACCCTTAACAAAAACCTTAACTGAGTTATCTGGACACCCTAATATAACTGACATCCTCTTCCGGTCACTGTCAAATTCATGCAACCCCAACACATTAAACCTGTATCAGGGATGAAAGAAGTTCAGAAACCACGGAAGTATGGCCAGTTTCATGAGCAGGTTAGCAATAGAAGAAGTAGAGGCAAAGTACTGAAGTGATCAATATAAGAAACACTACATAAACTTGAAACACCTAAAACAACCTCAGGTGAAATGAGGGTGCACATTATTCTCTCTTCAGCAATCCCACTTCCACAACCCACCCCCCCCCCCCCCCCCCCTCCCCCCCACCCCCAACAGAAAAAAACCACCCTCACGCCAAGAATAGAGAACACCACAAAGAAATAAATTAAACAGAAATTTTAATTCATCGTCTTTCCTCAAACGTCTGAAAAAAACTTCAGGCAATGAGTGGAATCACTTTTCCCACTGCAACTTATGTGCAGGCACCAAAGCAGAACCGGAAAAAGAGAACTAAATAAATAATTTTAGCAATAACAAAAGACCAGATAGTAGCACAAATTCAGGAATAATATAGTAAGCCAAGTACCTCTGCCTTTCTCCTCGGACATCAATAACAATGTGGCCTGAGGTTCTTTCAATCAGCATAAATCCATAAGCCGCAGCAGCATATACAAGAGCCTGCTCATCTGGTGACTCCCCTTGGTAATCTACCACCCTTGAAGCAGGATCAGATGTCTCCGTAGTCAGAGGTACAATTGTGTTGCAGGCAGCTAATGCAAGGAAGTAATCCCAGACATTTCTGCCTTCCTCAGTGTTAAACCCACCGTTCATTATATTTAAAAGCTGAGGGTCAACCTTGACCTTCATCTTGGGTCTTAAAACATAGTCCTCCACTGTTTACAGACAAACACAGAGTTGCAGTCAGTTAAGCGCGAAAAAAACAGAATAGATTACTTGGGAGGAAAAGTGAAGCAGAAAGTAAAACTCGAATGTACCTTTAGCAGAGTACCCAACATCTTCATCATGACCAACTGCAGCACCACCACTATAGTCGATACCAGAAATGCTTGCACAGCGAAATTCCATTTTATTTTCTGTCAGTGTACCAGTTTTGTCAGAAAAAATGTACTTTATTTGCCCCAAATCTTCATTTATGTTTAGTGCTCTGCATTGGAATCTTGAGTTGGAGGACGCATCGTACATATGTGTGTCTCGGATCATGAAGTATGCCTGACCAACACGGACAAGCTCAAGGGATATATAAAGTGATATTGGGATCATGACTTGGAAAACAATAACTGACATGAGAAATGTGAAGAATATCTCCAACCCCCAACCATAATAATTGTAGTTTTCTATCTCATTTTCAGAGTAATCTTTTCTCCTGTAGAATGGCATGATATCCAATTCATCCCTGTGTCGCCTCAGCCAAACAGCAGCGCAAATAGAGACTATGGTACATAATGTTACAAGAAAAAAGGAAAGGATAATAATCTCTCGATTCATCTGAGTTTCAAGACGGCTTCTCTTTGAAGGAGCGCCTGAACTATTGAGCATAACCTTGGTCTCCCTCCCAGCATATACTGCAACACCAACAACCCAAGCAGTATTCTTGATCTCACAACCCCGAAGAACAATGTTAGAAGGTCCTAGGGAGACACGCTTCTTATCAATTTCCATATTTGCCTGGAAACCATAGATATTCCTGTTTGGCTTCTCACACTTAATCAACCCACTAATTTTATCCTTCTCTGGATTTCTCATTTGGGTCTCTTGCTTCGCATAGCGTGTCTTCAAATTCGATTCCCCGTCCAAATTAATTGTTTGAACGTATGCAACCCCTGTTGGATCACTTGTGGAGAGCAGTACCATATCACATGGCAGCGACTCATTAGCAGAAATTTTGATGATCTCACCAACCTGTATATCTTTCCATTTCTTCTCTTGGAAATGATCATCAACCAATACCATTGCCAGTCTATTATTCTCAATCCTATCTGATCGATGCCTCCTAAAATCCTCATACGCATCCTTAACAGCAGTAACTAACAATACAAAAGCTAAAGGCAAAACAGAAACCCCCCGGCCAAATACAGCTAGCTGGGGAAGCTGATTGAGGACAGCAATTACAAGGAAATAAATATAAGCAACTCTGTGGAACTGTTCAAACAGATTGCGAGGTAAGAAGGTGAGAAGTGAATACTTCCCTGTCCTAATAGAATTCCCAGAAAATTCAAACCTTTCATTCGTCCTCCCAGGATCATTAACATAGATTAACCTTGCATCCTCATCATTAATCTCCTTCTGGGACGTGCCTAACCCTTCTGAATCAGCCCTTGATCCATGCCTAATTGGCAGTATTCTGGGCTCATTTGGGATTCCCTCACTAATTGAATTCCCACCAAAGTTAACCTCCCTCCTACCAGAAGCTCTTGATTGATATGATGAATTACTACGCTGTGACAAGGAATTTAGGGTAATGTTATCAGTAGAAGTTGATAAGTTATCAACTTGGGAACTTGTATCCATCCCAGAAATTGGTTGATTTTGAGAATTGGATTTCAACTGATCAGCAAATATAGGGGTGTAAGGAAGCTCAGGGCCACCTGGAGTGCGTGGTGATGGAATCAAAAGAGGGCGGTGGTGAGTGGCCATGATCTAAAGATCAAAAAAGCCTCCCCACTTCAACTCACTAGACTTCAACTTTCCCCAACACATGAGCTTCACAACTAATCCCCAAAAACCCACCGAAAAAAAAAAAAAACAGCAAAAGAAGCCTTTCAATCACCACCAAGTTAAACAACAGAGCCACCAGAAATCAACAAGGCCAAAGTCTATGAACAACAACCCAGATGCTAATTTACAACAAAAAGAACAAATCACCCCAAAAAAATCTAAACTTGATCTCAACTAAAACCACCTGCTAAAGAAAAACAACAGAAAGAAGGACGGCTATGAATAAAAATATGTATATATTGACACAAACAATAAATAAAGAACAAACATAAAAATTGAATCTTGAATAATCAAAATGGTCAGCTGTACCATAGCATTTTGGCTCGTTCGCAAGGTGGGATAACTTAAATTCAAGTGAAGTTTCTAGAGACATATGGATTTGGTATAAAATTCAAGCTTTTCTATATATATGAAAGTGTAAAGATAATAAAAAAGGTGGAAGATTCAAAGGTCAAAGCCATTGTCAAAGCTCTGCAACAGCCCAAAAGAGACTAAATTAAACAGGGGCGAAGGAAGCAAGAAAATGGGGGAAAGAGAAAAAAGGAATGTGGATTGAGGGAACAAGAAGAAGTCGTAATGGGATGGCGACAATTTGGAGAAAAAAAAATTTGAAGGAAAAGTCTTGTGTTTGTTCTTCCTCTCCTCCAGTGAGGAAGAGAAGACTAGTAAAGAAGACAGAAGAGTTAGTTGATTTGGTTGGCTTTCTAGAAAGGTGGACTAAACGGAAGGGGGTTTTGAATTTTGATTTACCCTCTCTATTTCCTTTTCCTTTTTCTTTTTTTGTTTTTTTCATTTTCATTTTTTTGTCTTAATTTTAAAAACTAAAAAGGATATTTAATTAAAAATAAAAATTGTAGAATGATACTCCCTCCTGTCCTTAATATAATGCATTTTGATATTTTGATTTGTTCTAAATTTTACCTAGTATGCACTTTTAATTGACAAAAGGAATCTTAAAAATATATTTTCACGTTCGTCGTATTTTCTTGATTATGAAATATTTTTCAGATTTTTTTATCAATTAAAAATACGTACTAGGTGAAAACTAAGACAAATTAAATGCTTTATATTAAAGACCTGAAGGAGTATATTGCAATTATATAAGTTGAATAAAAAATAAAAATAGCAATTCACAGATAAAAGGTATTCCTTCCATCACAAATAGAATAATTATTTTAGGATGAAAAAGAAAACAAATGAATTTAGTTCATTGTCACATTCGTTCTTCTTGATGTTTCATTATCAGCGAAATCTAATTCAACCTAAACCAAACGAAATATTGATTGTCTGCAGCCTAAACTTAATCTAGAACGTAAAGAAAAGCCGCCAACTGGACATGTGCGTAAGTTTGTGGAAAAGTTTGGTCTAATTTTTTTTTTTATTTTTTTTTACGCATAGTTTGGTCTAATTTTTAAGGAAAAAGAAAAACCAATCACATTAATTGTCTTCTAACTTTTTATTGATTTTATTATTATTATTTTGAGTGAACCTCAAAACAAGTCATCAACCTTTAATATATTTTCACTCTAGGTCATCAATTAAATTTATTTATAACACAGGTTACCTTACTAAAGTTTTAATCCATATTAGATTATTCTATTAATTTTGGCTGTTAAATAGTAACGGAAATCCATTTTTCACATGTTTTTGGATTCAGGGGTATTTTTGTCATTTTTTTATTTTTTATTTTTTAATCTTTTAATTTTTTTTTTTTACAATTTTGCTTCTTATACTTCCTAACTTGTATATACTGGTAGTATAATTTTAAATTTTAAGAATTTATTTTCCTTTTATATTTTAACTTCTAGATTATAAAATTTTTTTAAAAAAATTCAGAAATGAAGAAGAAAATTCGAGTTAAAGTAAACATGAAAATAAATAATTTACCATTTTAAAAAAAATTAAAATAATTAGTTAAGACAAGTTGTTTCTTCTAGGTTATTTAATTTTTTTCAACTCGATTGAATTATTTAATTATTAATTTTCATGTTTCTTATTCCTTTTTTTTTTAATAATCTACAAGTTAATATACAAATAACAATTAATAACCTAGAAGAAGAAAAAAAAAGAAGAAACGTGAAAATTAATAACCTACAAGTTAATATACAAGTTGTTTTTTTTTTTTTGTCATTTGTATCTTAACTTCTAGATTATAAAAAAAAGAAGAAATAAGAAACGTAAAAATTAATAATTAAATAATTCAATCGAGTTGAAAAAAATTAAATAACCTACAAGAACAACTTGTCTTAGCTAATTCTTTTAGTTTTTCTTTTTGTTTAAAATGGTAAATTATTAATTTTCATGTTTACAATTTTTTTTCTTCATTTCTTAAATTTTTTTTAAAAAATTTCATAATCTAGAAGTTAAAATACAAAAGGAAAATAAATTTTTAAATTTTAGAATTATACTACCAGTGTATATAAGTTAGGAAGTATAAGAAGAAGAATTGTAAAAAAAAAAATTAAAAGATTAAAAAAATAAAAAAAATAACAAAAATGCCCATGAACCCAAAAGCATGTGAAAAATAGATTTTCGTCACTATTTAACAGCCAAAATTAATAGAATAATCTGAAATGGATTAAAACTTTAGTAAGGTAACATGTGTTACAAATAAATTTAATTGGTAACCTAGGCCCTGTTTGATAAATCAATTAAGCACTTAAACTTATTAATTAAGTACTTAATTGATTAATACTGTTTGATAACACAATATCATAACTTAATTGCTTAAGAACTTAATTTATTAAGGACTTAAATTTTAAGTGTGTTTGATAACTCAAAGTATGATGTCTTAATAAATTAAGTGGGTCTGAAATGTTAGTACAAATGTGAGCCTAAAAATAAGTGATAGGCCTATCACTTATGTCTAAACTGAATTCTTGAGATGATTTTTTTTCTATTTATTTATTTTTATGTTTATACTTTTGATATTTTATCTTGAAATATTTTTATTAATCATGATGTCTAGTTCTAAATTAAAATTTATGTAAATTATTTTTTATTTAATAAATATTTATTTTTACATAAAAATTAAAAAATCCATTAAATTCCATAATCAATATATCTTTACCATAAAATATGAATTTTTTTTGACAATGATAAACTATGACATTATTATTAACTGAAAAAAAATAATAACATAATAAAATTTAAATAGTTTTATTACATTATTTAATAATATTATTATTATTTTTATTATCATAGTTTCATATACATCAATTATTTTTTTAGACAAATAATGTAATAATATATTATTATTTTTATTATCATAGTTTCATATACATCAATTATTTTTTTAGACAAATAATGTAATAATATTATTATTATTTTTATTATCATAGTTTCATATACATCAATTATTTTTTTAGACAAAATTATAAGTCGAGATACTTTAAATTTTAGTGTTCAGACTTCAGATTTCAGACATTTTATTCAGTGTTTAGATTTTGGTTTTTATCAAATACGACAAACTTAATCAATTCAGTACTTATGATTCAGTTTTCAGATTTCACACTTCAGACCCAAATTAAGTTTTCTCAAACGGACTCCTAGAGTGAAAATATATTAAAGGTCAGACTTGTTTTGAGATTCACTCTATTATTTTTTCTTTTTTGATAAGTAATGGCCTTCTAGCTTAATACAATAACTCAAAGGTTTCTTTTTTTGATCCTTAAGTTATAAGAAAAGTTTCAATTTTGTACTGAATGTTTAAAATTTAGCTTCAATTGGTCCACTTAACAATACCATTCCAAAATTCAGTACTATTCCCACAAAACAAGTGCACTGAATGTATAAATTAGGGGTATCCAAGGACAGAACTACATAACTTGGCTAGTTAAACCAGTTAAAGCTAATTAATCATCAATTGTTGAAGAGAGAGATTAAATTTTTAATTTTTTATTTTTTTTGGTTCAATAACTTCAGAGCAAAATCAACTACTGATATTGTTATCTTTCAGATCCATAGTAAAATAGTGATTACCATACTCCACGAACCTTAACTGGTCGGGAGCTTGAGACCTATCATAATAATAGAATAATTTTCAATATTTTGACTCTCTGTTATAGTAATTGAGATACAATATGTTTGAAAATAAATATTGAGATTTTGAAATTCATCGAACGAATTGGTTCCGGTTATTCATAGTAAACGTGGAATGGAAAGGGGGAAAATGAAAATGATGATTGGTATGATTGATTTTAATCTATTTTTACCTTTCCCTTTTCCCAAATGTTATTAGATCATGGTTTGACTTTGTAATCGTCATGGATGAATGGGCGATGTGGTAAGCGACGAAATCCAAGTCAAATCAATCAGCTTTAATTTGCGTATAATTCTTCTCCAATGCAAAGAATGATCAGCACGAGCCCCATGCATCTTCTTATCTAAAATGACTTATAATTAGTTTAAAGAATTAATTAAAAAGAAAGAATTAATGTAAGAAAGCCAATCTGCGGTCAAGAAAAAGTGAACGTCGTGGCCATGATGATTCTTATTGAAAAGCTTTATTGCACGTCGCTACCATGGCCGCCTGAAAGTGTTTGTGGGGGTTATTAAGTTATAACATAAATATTTTTTTTTCTATGTTTCCTTTCTTCTAAAATACTAATTTTTATTTTTGGGACTAAAAAATTATTTTGAAGTGGAGGAAAAAGTTATTAATTACTCCCCCGTCCTGAATATAAGGTATTTTGATTTGTCCTAAATTTCACCTAGTACGTATTTTTAATTGACGAAAAACTTTAAAAATATGTAACAATTAAGAGAACACAACAAATGTAAAAATGTATTTTTAAGATTTTTTCGTCAATTAAAAATATATATTAGGTAAAATGTAGAACAAATTAAAATACCTTATATTAAGGATTGGAGGGAGTAGTACAATATTCAGTCTTCTTTGGAGTTTTGTTGGTCTTCAAGTGGTTTTGCCGTTCTGGACTTTTGGTCACGAGTCTTTAGCTCGTGAGAATTGAGAAGTGTGCTTTGTTTTTTTGGTAAAAAAACAAGCTAGTGTGTGCATAATACTCGCGTTTGTATCAATATTCTCATTCAATTTTGATGGATTCGTTTAAGGAGCAAACAGTCTCCCAAAAACTTGAATGGATTAAGGCAGTTGAATGTAGAAAAAATAACTTGTAGAAGGATTAGCTTTGATAAGGGAGAAAATTTTCCTCTCTAGGTGTATTATATTTGTAGTCAAGAGAATGACAACATAATATATCTTTGCTCTCAAAATTGCTGAACACTTAATTTCCTGATTCTTATACGATGAAGTAATAATTTCTATAAGAGTTTAGCAACAAAAATAGAGAATGATCGTACTTGTCGTACTAAAAATAAGAATACAATTACTGCATAAAATATTTTTCATATATAATAATATTGATAAGTGAAAGAATTAATTAAAATCGTATCGGCAAAAAAGAAAAAAAATTAAAATCGTACCGGCAAATTAACGGTTGATACCACATCCTGGTTTTAGCCACGCGTGCACATCCAAATGTACAAAACAAAACTTACGACGACACAAGTTTATTCTTCACCAAAAACTGTACCAGAGTGTTTTTTTATTCTTATAAAAAATGCATCCAAGATCGAGTTGGTGGAAAGATAATAAATATTATAATATTTCGATGATGACGGAATATTTTGTGTGGGTAAATATAATCGAGACTAAAATTATTTTTCTGAAACAAGAAATATTCCTTCCGTCCCATAATTATTGTCCAGTTTGAGTTTTCATTTCTAGTTCAAATTATGACAAATTGTACTAAAAAAAGAGTTGAGTCGTCCTTCTCTTTAAAAATTTTAGTGAGAGAATGTCATGTTTTCTCTGTATGAGAAAGCATCTTGACGACAAATTCTCCTCAAATTCAACCTTTATTCTTCCTTGCTAGATTATCTTCAGTTCTTTCCTAATTGTGGTTCTGGAACACACCCTTAATCCCACTATCCTTGGTTCTCTAATAATATAAAAATACTTCCCTTCTACACCGATGCATTTACTCAGCCATTAATTGCCATTTGGATGCCATATATTTACCAGTCTTGTCATCCAATTTTTTAAATCTGAACAGGTTCACCATTCACTTGGTTTTAATCTTTATAAGTCAAGCTGTTTATCAGCCTTTGTACCTTTACTGAGACCATCTCATCCTTTTCACTTCCCTAAGTTTTGATTTACCAGATCTAAGTCTTAAAGGCTTCCACCTTTTTGGTTTTTCCCTTTTCTTTTCTATTCCTACTACAGTCCGAAACCATTGCTGAGCAGTACCTTTGGATTCTTGTCCATTAATTTCACACCACAGACATTCTGTATCCCCACATTATCTTCCTTTTTGTTGTGTTCTCCTTTTGTTCTTTCTTCTTTACTTCACTCTCAATTCGGATTTCCTGCCGATGTCAACTACTGTTAACTATTGTCCTATTCACAATGAATTACAGACATGCAATGGATGAAAATTCAGTCACTGCTATGTCAATTCAGGGATCCAACTTTTCAGAGGAAAGGCAAGACCGTAGAACTCATATTGATCCAGATCCAAGGCAAATTTCTTGGCCTTTCCTCCGATCGAGCAACATGCAACTGACAGATTACCATACCCTGCTCTCTCGAGACAATCTACAGTTATCCCTATTAGGTTATCTGATTGAAGACTATGAGGTCGATGACAGAGTCATGCAAGACTATATGGTAGCAAATTGGCCAGTCACAGTTCGTGTCATGCACTATGACCGCAACTTCTTCATCTTGAAGTTTATGAATCATGCTGAAATGCTGGCTATTCTGGATAATGGCCCATATGCTGTCAATGGTGGTTTACTAATACTGCATCGTTGCTATGATCATGAAGATCTGGTCCTGGGAAGTATCAAGATCGAGAAAATGAGCATCTGGGTCCGCCTGCATGGGGTGCCTATCACTTCCATGAATTACCGCTCCTTGGAGGACCTGGCTAGAAGGGTTGGTGATGTCGAAACCATCAAACAAGATTGTGTATCTCTTCGCAAAATCACCTATGTCCGGGGCAAAGGTATGGATAAAACTCGGTGACCCTTTGGTTCCTTCTTTTTATTTCACAAAAAGGAATGGTAAAATGGCCAAGATTCGATGCAAGTATGAACATATGCATAAGTTTTGTCAAAGATGTGGTAGATTGGGTCATCCACTTACCCGATGTTATTTTATGGAGGGTGATGCTTGATTTCTATGACTCTGTGCCGGATAATTACATTCAGGATGGTTTCACCATCTCTGAGACTGATGAGGAAACTCCAGCTCCTTGGTACCCTTGGTCCCCACAGAACCCTGATGATCACTAGTCGGATGCTGAGAATGAGGAGGAGGATGATAATCAATCGGAGGATTTGGATCAGGATGACAGTGACCCTTATGATGAAGATGATTCCTCCTCCGGGGGGTCTGACCAGTTTATGGCTGCACTTAATGCTGATAATTTTGTTGATGATGATGGCCCCCCAGTCCCGGTGGATGGCAGATCCAGCCTTTATGCAGGTGTAACGGCTGATTATTCACGGCGTGCAGCTCCTGCTGCTGGGGAAGACACAGATTCTTCCTTTTCTGCTGACCCAGGTGACAGTTTCCATTCACTCTCCTCCCACTCTTCTGAGTTTTTATCAAGGTTCTGTACATGCCTTACCTGATGATACTAGTGAATTTTATATGCCGCATTCATTTTATGAAATTCCGGATGTTCCTCCGTCTGATGCTATGCTGGAAAATCCTTCTTATGTTCCAGATTTTATCATTCCGCATATATCTGATTATCCCCCTTATCGAGACATCTCCCCGGATTTTGGTTTTTCGGGTTTTCAACGTAGTGATGATTTTAATGTTGCAATCGATGATGAAATTACTAGTAATTATGTTTTTGTGCCTTCTGGAGTTGGGCTGTTGCCAAGATTTAGCACTAGGTCCTCTGCTGGGGGTGGAGAACTACTACAAGGTAGAAGAATCCCTGTTAACCCTAAGGGGCGAGCACATTTTAAGAAGAAAGGCTTCTGTGGCAGTTCCTTCTCTGATTCGGCTCCACAATCTTTGTTGGATGCAAGCTCCCAGTCTAACAGTGACCTTGACGAATTTTTCATGCAAGCTCGGATGGCGGTTTTTGAATCAGACCTACCAGATTCCAGACACAACACTCAGCACAGCTCCCCCACCCAACCTGCTTCTCATGGATGGTGCATGAAGATTGTAGATGAGGATTTTGATGACTCTGTGGATTCTGACACCTCATTCAACTCCTCAGATAGAAGGAAAAGACACTCGGAAGATTCTCTTCTTGATCTAGACCGCCCAGAGAAGCGAAGGTCCAACACTGAGATGCATGAGGAGGTGCAAAGTCTCTTCAGCGATTTGGAGATGGCCTGGGAGGAAGGCAAGCAGCAAGCAACCACCTCAACTCAACTGAATGGTTTTGCGGGGATTGAACCAGATCAATCCCCTCTGTTTCAATGAGTATCTTATGTTGGAATTGTAGAGGCATAAATAATGTCACGTCTAAAACTATGTTAAGTAGGCTTAGTAAAAACTATAAACCAAGTGTTCTGTTTTTGATGGAGACTAAAGCTGTAAACTCTACTATGTCAGCTTGGTTTCAGTCCACTGGTTTTCAGAATTGTTGCATAGTAGACCCAATTGGCAGTAGTGGGGGCCTGGGTCTCTTTTGGATAGCTAATCTTACACTAGCAGTAGTCTACCAGGATGCTAATGTGATTGTTACAAAGGTCACTGAGGCAAATGGTTTAATCTGGATGGCCATTTTTGTGTATGGTCCTCCTGCTAGGCAGGAGAGAACATCATTTTGGTCTAGCCTGAATGGAATCATCCAAGATTATTGTTATCCTAGTATTATATTAGGTGATTTTAAACAGGTCACTGAACAGGAGGACAAACATGGAGGTCGTCCTGTCAGCATGCAGGAAACCAGACCCATTCAACACTTCCTTTCTGCGAATGATTTGGAAGAGCTCAAGCACCTCGGTTGCTGGTACACTTGGACAAACAAACGCCAAGGTTCGGATGCTATTTTTGAACGTTTGGATAGAGCTTTTGTTAACAAATTGTGGTTTCAAACCTTTAGGCATGCCATTATCCGAAACCTTCCTATTGTAAGCTCTGACCATGGCCCTATATTGGTAGATATTCGCCAGAAACATAGGCCACACAGAAAACCTAAATTTGAACAATTCTGGACAGCTTGTCCTAGTTCAGTTCCATAGGTCACGCAAGCTTGGTCCTCACCCCCTCTTCTATTCCTGACTCACAAGACACCCTTTCTTATAAACTCCATAAAACCCTAACCCAACTTCATCAGTGGAGCAAATCCAAGTTTGGCCATCTGGACTCCTTAGTTCACAAATTAACTGGACAGCTTAGTCAAGCTCAAACACAGTGGGAGGCAGACAAAACTAACTCAACTCTGCTCATGGCTTTAGACACCAAACGGATTGCTCTTGAGGATGCGCTCTTCCTCCAACAACAATACTGGTAACAGAGGGCCAAAATTAACTGGTCACAACTGGGAGATAAAAACACAAAGTTTTTCCACAATTGGGCAGCTACACGAAAAGGTAACAAATGGATCACGGCTCTGTGTGATGACCAAGGGACTTGGTTTCAGGATTCTGGACAACTTGCTTCTCTACTTCAAGCACACTTCTCAGCTATTTATATGTTACAGTCTTCAGCTTCCCAATCCTCTCTGGACTCCTCTTTCTTTACTTCGTTCTTAAGTAATGTTGAGGAATCCCTTACCTCTGATCAACTTGGCCTTCTGGATGCTCCGTTTACACCTGATGAAGTCTGGCAGGCAATCCGTCAGATCGCACCATGGAAATCTCCAGGCCCTGATGGTATACCGGCTGGATTCTACCAACATTATAAACCGATCATTGGCCAAGAGGTGGAATCCTCCATACTGCAGGCTTTTAATACGGGTACCTTTCCTCAGGAGTGGAATCACACAAACTTAGCTTTGATACCTAAACATGCTTCTCCCTTGACCCCGAATGATTTTCGCCCCATCAGCCTTTGTAATGTCAAATATAAAATCATTACCAAAATGATCACTAACCGATTGAAACAGGTACTGCATTCCCTCATTGATGATCATCAGAACGGGTTTGTTCCTAGCCGGAATATCAGTGAGAATATTTTGATGACCCACGAAGTTCTTGAGACGATACATCACAAAAAAGGTGATTCTGGATTAGTTTCCATTAAGCTGGGCATGAGCAAGGTCTATGACCATGTTGCCTGGCCATTCCTTGAAGTTGTTCTTACAAAAGTTGGAATTCCCCCCGGCTATTGACTCTGATCATGCATTTTTTACATCGGTTTCTTACTCCATTCTTTTTAATGGTGAAAATCTTCCTCCCTTTCAACCGAACCAGGGACTAAGACAAGGGTGCCCCCTATCCCCGTATTTTTTCATCCTGTGTCAACAAGTTCTTTCCTCCACTCTTCGTGCTGAAATTCAATCATTTCTTGGTTTGGGTGTCAAGATCAGCCGAGAAGCTCCACATTAAGCCCCCTTATGTATGCTGATGATAGTCTCTTTTTCATTGAGTGTACTCCTTCGGCGATTCAAGCACTTGCTGGTCTGTTGGAAAATTATACTACTTACTCGGGTCAGAATATAAATCTTCAGAAATCTTTAATTCTGAAAAGTGCAAATACTCCATTGGCGATGCAGGATTTGATTCATGAGACACTCAATATCCCTCGGGGATCTTTTCACAGTAAATACCTTGGTATGTCTTTGGATTTCTCACAGCATAAGACCACTATTTTCCATGATTTTACTATTAGGCTTAGCAACAAATTTGCGTCTTGGAAGTCCAAGTTACTCTCCTTATTAGGACGGGCTACGCTCGCTAAATCTACACTTTCATCCATACTGGTGTACCCCATGGGCGTTTTTAGACTTCCACAGCACACTCTTACAAAAGCGGATAAGATTATTGCTAATTTTATCTGGAAAGGTGACACAAATGAACAGAAGATTCACTAGCGTGCCTGGAACAAGATCACCAAATCCCAATTTCATGGTGGTTTGGGTCTGAAGGCTACCAAGGAGTTCAACCAAGCTTTGTTAGCTAAACATGCCTGAAAAATGATGATTCAACCAAACTCACTATTAGCTAGATTCTTCACTGCAAAGTATTGCCCCGGTGACACTTTCCCTCCCTTACACACGCCAAAGAAACTTTCTTGGGGCTTTCGCAGCATTTTTTGGGGAGCAGAACTATTACAAGGTAATTTAAGGTGGAAGATTATATCTGGCAAGTATACTCTACTATCTTCAAATTGGATTCCTGGAGTTACTAATCCGATTAGCAGCCAATCTGTTCTAACAATTGCAAACATCCGAGTCAACAGGTTTATTACTCCAACAGGTCAATGGCGTGTCAATGCTCTTAGGAACTTTTTCCCGAATCATATCATTTCAATCATCAACGGCATTTTTATTGATCCAGCAAGACACGATGAACAGGACTGTTTAGAGTGGATCCATACGGACCATGGCCGGTATACAGTCAAAACTGGTTATCAAGTGGCAATAAATTCCACAATCCCACAGCCGACTCCGGATCCGACAATTTTCCAATCCGAAAAGCTTGCATGGATGAAGTTATGGAACTCCAAAGTCCAACCCAAGCAAAAATTCCTTTTCTGGAGAGTTTGTTTAAATGCTCTGGCTACTCATTCTGAGCTTCACAAAAGAGGAGTTCCCATAACAACCAGTTGCCCATGATGCTTTACAGCAGAAGAAGACAGCACACACTTATTCCTTAAGTGTGCAATGTCACAAGCACTTTGGGCACTTGCTTTCCCTCGCTTCAGCTCCATCTTCAATTCATCCTATCACTCCTTGTTCCAATGGTTCACTGCGTGGTGTCGAACACAGCCCTCCAAACAGGATGTGGATCTCCTACTCCTCATTATGTGGCGAATTTGGCTTGACCGCAATGATAAAATCTGGAGAAACCAAGTTCAGGATCCCATCATTTCTTGGAATCTAATTCAATCGGACTTCCGTTCCCTACTTAAATTCCAAAGAAGGCTCAACCCAACATCTTCCTCTCCTAATCATTTGCCCACTCAGGGATCATCATTTCGGATGCCCAATACTGCTTTGATTATTTTTTATGGTTCATTTAGTCATCAAACACGCCAGGCAGCTAGAGCATAAAAATTTATATCCCCAAATGGAATGGTCATGCAAGTCTCAACCACAGGGATTAATGCCCTTACACCGCTCCAATCTGAAGCTACAACATGTCTTTTAGCTTTACAACAAGCGGCAAACCTTGATCTCACTCGGATTCAGGTTTTCAGAGATTGTAAAGTGCTATCGCAAAACTTGCAATCCCCTTCGATGCCATCTGATTCCCGAGAAATCTTTTCACTATTAAATACTTTAATTTTCTCATTTAGTTTTTGTACAATCACCAAAGTAAGTAGATGTGATGTACGAGATATGCATAATTTAGTTTTTAATCGTATGCAATGTAATAGATTAATACCTTTAACATAATATAACAGGTACTTTTAACAAAAAAAAAATTATACTAAAAGTAAAATTTCAAACTGTACAATAATTTTGAGACAGAGGGATTACAATTTTCATGTCACATTCAAACATGTATTCCGATCACTTCTTTCTTTACTTCCTCAGGTCCGGAGGTCGATTTGACACCTTAAAGTCTGCATAGTTTCACGTTATTGGAAGACACTTTCTCAGTTTGGATGTGATTTAGTAGATTCAATGGTTTCGACACTCTATGTAACATTAAAAAAAATTAAATAAAAAAATGAGGGGAGATTAATTAGACCACATTTGATATTGTATGTAATCATAGCAATGTACACCCGGCCCGCGAATGCATTTCCTCCGATGACCTGAATAAATATTATGGCTGGCCGGCGGCTGGAATTGTTGATTAACCTAACCTTCCATCACGCTCTCCCCGGACGATGAATAACTCTTTCACTTCTACTCTCCGATGATGACGTTTATATCGATCTTATAGGGATTAATTGATCAATGAAAAATATTATTAATTTAGTTTAGGAGGAATTAAGGAAGTGTTCATAGGCTTGGTCCTTCTTCGTTGTTGATTAATCAAATTATATGGATTGTGAAGGAAAAAAATATCGTATTTCATCCATCATTTTAATCAATAAATAAGATTTTTTACTCCCCATGTCCCAAAAAAATAATTCATATTTAGTTTTGAATTTTTCTAATGTTTTTATGAGTACAAATTTGAAAAATCGAAGTAAACTATTTTTTTTTTCTTCCAAGTCATGCGTACAAAAGATTGGTTGATACTTGATATTCTAATTACGTTTAAGGTCAATCATCTCGTGTTTCTTCTACCTTGTTGTATGATTTTAATAACTCTTGAAATATGAACCTTTAGATCAACTCCAATTATTATACTATAATTTGTACCAAATTTAGTATAAAAAAAGATGATTGTAAGTATCATTTCACACTAAGTGTTTTTGCATTTCAATCTCGGTATACCAGATTTCTAAATGTTGTATTTTAAACTTTTTTGGGTAGTTAAAAATCTTATAATTTAGTGAAATAAAAAGCAAATGAAGTAAAATTCTCTCTCCCATTCTCTCTTTTTCTTTTTTTTTTCTTCTTTTAAGACTGACGGAAGTAATGACCTTTCCGTAATTCATTCAGTTATATGACTTTTTATAGTAAAAAATAAATTATTAAGATGGAACAGAATATCACAGAATATGATCATGTGCCATATCTTACACGTTTTTTTTTTTTTTTTAATATCAAATAATCCCTACTTTTTTATTAGTCATTTATCAAATAGTGGCTTTAGACTTCTTTTTCTTCCCTTTCTCTACTTTTTCTGTCACCTGGTGATAAAGTTATCAATGCAACTCTTACAGATTTAAAATCCATTCTCACTGAGATAAGAGAGATTTCGTATTTATAAATGTAACTCTATCATGGATATGGGTTTTAAAAGAAATGATCAGTTTGTTTCAACAAATATCATTCACCATTCTAATGGAATCGTAATGAAATATAAAAATGGAGGGAGTATACTCACCTTAATTACCAGATTCTGAATTTCTGATAATATGACAGTTCTAAGAATATAATGCTTATTATTTAACGCAACTTATATGTAACCAATCTTAAACAAAAGCATTCACGATCGACTTCTTCTTCACTCAAATGAGAAAGAACAACTGTTGAAACCACAATGATCCGATCAGATCAATATGTGCTTGCTCTTTGACTAAGTAGTGAAATAAAAGCAAGCTAATTGTTGCTTTGGGTTGAATATTTAAATGAGGCAGCAAGTTAATTGAGAAGTAGTAAATGGACATTCCCACCCAATGGCTTTGGCAAGTTTATGGGGGAAAAAAAAGGGTATCTTCAGCTTTTAGGATCCGATGAGTTTGGAAAATCAAATGGTATGATCATTAACTGTTCAAAGGATCAAAGCTTAAGAATTTGTTCTTAGATGCTCATAGTTTGTATAGAATTCCTATTATCACTTTGGAGAGTGTTTTAAATTTCAGTTGTGATGATGCCTATTTTTAAACCTATGTATTACGAACTTCTACCAATTAAGTGATTGGAAACAAAAGAAAACCAAACACATCACATGAAACCGAAGCCAACAACAATATACAACACAAGCTTACGCCACATAGTTTACAAGGAATTTGCTATGAATCTGTATTTTCTAGCTCTCATTCTTCAGTATTGTCAAATTCCTGGACAGATTCCCCCTCTGACTCTGCCTCTAATTCTGCAGTAGAGCCAAGCTGCAGGGCAACCTCTGCCTCTTGGATCTCTCCTGATGTTTGTGTTCTCATCATGTTGCTTTCAATCTATAGACTCAAAAGTCTAATTCACTAGAAATTCAATCTGCACGGCTATCTCTTCCGCTGGAACATTTCTATTGTTAGTGGATCGCTCCAGCTGCTACCATCGGCAGGGGAATCGTCAATGCTAACTGATGACTCGTGCTCGTTACAGATGAATTTTCAAAGATTATCTGAAGTTACTCAAGAATGAATCAAAGCAAAGCAAAGAAAAAAAAATGCTAAGAATTGGTACCTGATGATGTTTGAGTTTCCGAGTCCTGGAGGCCAAATATATCGCTCGGATGTGTTGGATCTTGGGCCACTCCGCGCCTGTTGTTTCAGTGCAATTCTGTTCCAGTAAGGGACAAAACAGGACCCTCAAGTTTTTCAGGTTCATTAGCCTTACCGAAGGCAGACAGCCAAGATTGATGCAATCTTCTTCAAGGACTAAAGGTTCGAGGGACTCCATATTTGCCCAACCAGTTTGGAAGAACCTCCAGCCCATGAAATTGGCAAACATGCAGATGCTTCAAATGAGGGATATATACTGAACTTGTTCTGGCAGGGAAGAAAGTTTAGGCCATCCAAACAATTTAAATATGTCAGAGAGGTAAAATGGTTGGTGCTGCTGGATGTCGAACACAGCCAGGGGAAATGGTCAAGATCATTCGGAAAGGGCCTAACTCCATATGTTTCAGAGAAGGAAGGTGTCCTAGTTGTGGAATCTGAGTGCACCTGTTGCAATTCCCAAGCTTGATGGACACCAAGTTACGGAAGAGTTGTGATGATTCCCTCGTTTGCACTATCCGTGAAGGGAACTTTGAGCCATCAAAGTTAATGATAGACAAGTGCTGCAAACGTGGATTGGGATGAAGACGCTCCATAACTATGTATTCATTTGATTGTCCTTTTCTATTTGAAGGAACGTCCCAACGAAGCCTCAGCGTTCGAATCTCTGATTTACTGGACTGGTCGGCTTTCCAGGCTTCTTCACCATCTTTGACATTCTCTAGATGGTAAATCTTTAACTCACCTTTCAGGGATTGCAATGGCCCTAACTCCAGTATTTGGCATCCATTGGCTGTTTTGGTTGTTTCACTCACTATAAAGAGACGTCATCGTTCTTAAGTTGACTAGCTGTCCTACTCCAGGAACCAAACACTTCATGCTGTTGTGGAACACCTTCTTTATGCAAAAATGCCTCAAGTTTATCAATCTGCTAAAGTACTTTGGCATTTCCATTAAGGTGTAGAGCCCTAAGGTCTGCAGATAATACAGGCTGAGTGATGGTGTTGGCAAGTCTGTCAATCCGAGTCCGGGAGATGTCTAGCGCCCTCAAATGTTTCAGGACTCGAATATGCTTTAGGCAAATGTGATACTTGAGGATCATTTATAATGAGAACTCGAATGTACCCCGTATGTTAATCAATCCATTAGGAAAATGCGAATTCTCGAGATTTCGAGTCCGCAGCCTTGGAAGCGATTCCTTGAATCTTAGGCCTGTCCTTTTCTTGTTGATCCACAATACATGTGTAGAACTACTCAAGGCGACATGATTTCGTTCATGTGCACCTGTGACTAAACAGAAGTTTCCCATTAATCCACATGCAAACTCATGGACAACTTTGTGCATCTTGCAACTCGTAATACTGCTACTACTGCTTCTGGAGCCCTTTTCAATTTCAACCACTTGAAGCATGTAACGTTGTATCAAGAGGTCAAAGTAATCATTGCCTAACTCCTCCATTTCTTTATGAGATTGAGATTGATGATAGGGAATGGTTAAGAAGCACTGCGCCATCCAGAGCTGCACAATTTCTTCCCCATCCAAAATAGTGGATCTTGGAAAAGGAGAGCAATACAGAAAACATTTCTTCACAGCCAATGAAGGATCACAACTTTGCTTCAAAGACATAACGAGTTGATATGATGATAATGGTGGACTTTCAAAAGGAAGACATGACCAGCGAATTCCAGCAGTTTCAAGATTTGACAACTTACTCGTGTGGAATCCAATTGAGCTGATTACATGTCCAACTTCCTTGATTGCCATTTGCCAATGGCAATCCTTCACATGTCTTCACAATTCTCTTCAACTTATCAACTTCTACTGGATCGGCATGATCCGAGAAGGAGAAGCTGTCGCCACTGCTGCTGCCACCACCACCGGGGAAAGCTATATGTTGAAAATGATCCCAGCCATCACAGGGGAGCAGTAGTTGTAGCTGGTAGTTGACAGTTGACCTTCCGCAGAATAAAAACCATCACACAACTTACTACAATTTCTTACAAAAGTTAACTTACTACTACTACAAGATACCTTATTGCAGAGGGGGTGTAAGAAATCTTCTAAAAATTATACTCCCTCTATCTCGAAATGCATTTTGGATTTTCAATTTAGCACAAATTGCACTAAGACTCTTAGAGTGATAATCCAAGCAGAACAAAATGCGAGCATCAAACAATAACATCACCTTTGAGGACAGTATACTGATAGTCTTCCAACACATTCAGTGCATCAATGGATACTGCCTGTATATGTTTCATCCAAACTGCTGCTGCTTGGCTCTCCTGATATAGCTTCATATTCTGCTACCATCTTGTATAGAAGCTTGAATAACTTCAAGTTTTGACGCTAACGGCTTCAGAGTGAGGCTTACAGCCAGAGTCTCAGATGTTTCCTTAACTACAAGCGTAAAAAAGTGCTCTAGCAGGGAACCACCAGCAGCATCAAGTACGATACTCATCTTAATTAATTGTTTGTTAGTTCGGGTTCCAATTGGAGAAGACTGGAATGAAAGAAAAAAAAATGGTTTGAATGCGGAAGAAAACACAATGAGCAAAATCAAGGAAGAAAGATGGTTTCTTGGTTGTTTCAGTATTCCAAAAGGGGTTTATATAGTCGAGGATTCTTTTGAAGTCCAGTTTTAGGCCCCCCCTAGTTTTATACTAGTACATTTTTTTGTGGAGGGTCATAATCTAGTTGGCAAGGCTCTCCATACCGCATTTTAGCCACTTTAGAAAAAAACAAATTATTTTATAGCAGTTGATTTATGTATTAAATATGTTTTTAAAAAAATTGCCTTGCCAACTAGATTATGACCACTTTAGAAAAAAACAAATTATTTTATAGCAGTTGATTTATGTATTAAATATGTTTTTAAAAAAATTGCCTTGAAATTCTTCCTAACTTATATATTGTGAATATTTTTTTCACTTCATAAATCGATTTATATTTCGAACTGAAGTTAATAATTTAGATTATATTTTTTTTATTGTAAAATGAATGTTGAGTTTGAAGTTTCACTTTTAGCACAATTTAAATTAAAAATGAAAATTCATAATTATTTCGATGTGAGAGGGCATAGAGTGGTGATGAGCAAGGAGGCTTGTTTTAATACGAGTCAATTGTGAGGTAATGAGTTTTATTTCATGCATGAGGTAAATTTCATCGAAGATTCTGTCCTGGCCGCTTTTGTAAGCTTTGCAAATAATGCGTAATCATCGTGTCTCAATCTCATTGAGAGACGCGCGTTGCATATAGTACCATGCCGTATAATTTCACGACAAATTAAAGAGCAGTCGGCCGACAAATGTATATACTTCTGTTGCAGTGGTTTTAGGTTTCCTTCTTATTAGATGCCTTTTCGATTTGTCGGTTAGGAAAACGGTGAGACTCCAACCGTGTGAACCCTCTCGAGTCATCATGATTCCACCCCGAATGAATTTTCAGTTTTGTTTGTCCGAAATCGACGGTGCTTGAAAACAAAATGTAAAGAATGAAAAAGTTGTGAACTACTTTTTTCGTTATGGAACAATTGTCCGATTTCGATTTTTTTATTTTTGATAAAATTGTATTACTAAAAATGAAATTAAATGTGTATATATATATATATATAATATTTGTTCGGGTCATTATTGTAAGTCATTTTAATTTGTCTTAAGTTTCATCTAATATGTTCTTTCAATTGTAAATAAAAAACCTTAAAAATATTTTATAATTATTGAGAGAACACAGTAAATATAAATCTATATTTTTAAGGTTTTATTTTTAATTAAAAGAATATACTAAACGAAATTTAAGACAAATCAAAATACCTGATAATTAAGACATGACAGAATAACTATTTTGAGGCGGTTGGACAAGAGAAAGAACCAATGAAAAAGGCGGGAAATGATTTACCTTACCATGCGACACTATTTAACCAACCATTGTCTACTATGCATCAGTTCGAGCTTTTAAACCTTTGTAACACGGTATGAAATCAACAAGTTAATTATTTCTGCCATAAATGATTGTCTTATTTATATTTTTATTGTTAGTATAACTAGTACTAAAAATTAATATTCAAACTGAATAATCGCATTTTGGGATTGAAAAAGTATTTATATTTATGTGATGATTATTGTAATATTTGTATGTACTATAATAACCTTGTGTATAGGGTTTTGATACTGTGTATATAGCGTGTATATTGTATATTATAATACGATAAAATATCTCTGTTATTTTATCTTGGTACAGAGCTAGGGTTTTATTTTTTTTTCTGGCCGTCAATTTTCTCTTCCTTCTCGGCCATCAATCCTCTTCTTTCGTTGCTGTTGTTGCCGCCTCGACGACGCCGCCGTCAACTTTTCTTCGTCCGTCCCCCTCCCTCCCCGATTAATTGAAGTTGCTGCTGCCATCATTACACCCACCCATCACCGCCGCCATCATCATCCATCATCATCATCATCATCATCTTCACGCGCGTTGTTTGGCCAAATTACAAGGATTGTTGTTACAACCTTTCTGATTTCTATTTTTTCCAAATCAGCCCCTCTAGTTTTTTTTAAGCAAATTACTCCTATCATTTTTAATTTGTACAAATCAGGCCTACTAGTTTGTGATTTGTGCAAGTCGTTCCCTTAATTAATATTTTTGATAATTCAATCCTTCTGATTAATTTTGCTGCTAAGAGATGACTTCTCCTATCTATTCTTCTGCCTCTTCCTTTACTGTACCTCCAAAGAAGGTATGTCAGTTATGTGGCATTCCCAATTACACCGCATTCTCTTGCTCTCGTCGCTTTGACGCCCATTTTTACCCGGGAACGGTCTGTCAGCTTTGTCATATTCCCAATCACACTGCCTTCACCTGTTCTCATCGTTTTGACTCCAACTTCCCTCTTCGCCCTACTACTACTTCTGACAATCTCCTTCCGTTACCAGCACGTGCACATCCTCAAGTACATGTAGTGAAGTATGTTGCTCCTCCTACTCCATGGCATCCTGACACTGGTGCTACCGCTCATGCAACATCAGATTTGTTGTCCCTCAATATCGCCAATTATTATACTGGTACGGATCATATTTTAGTTGGTAATGGTGCTGCTTTACCTATTACGCATGTTGGTCAATCTGTTTTGCCATCACCTTCTCGTCCTCTTTATTTAAATTGTGTCTTGCATGCCCCTAATCTCACTAAATCTTTATTATCTGTTCAACAATTCACACGGGATAATCATTGTTTCTTTGAATTTTATTCTAATTCCTGTTGTGTTAACGATCTATCAACCAAGGAACTGCTTCTCCGAGGAAAGGCTGATAATGGCCTCTATCGGGTAGATCTTCCTGCTTGTGGTTCCTTGTCTCCGGCAGCTTATCTCATTTCCTTAGGTCAATGGCATGCTCGTTTAGGCACCCTAATAATGTCATTTTTCGTGTTTTGGTTAAGTAGTTTCAAATCCCTCATTCCTCTATGTCCACGTCTACTGATAAATGTGAGGCGTGTTGTTTAGGGAAGTTGCATAGGGTTAGTTTACCTTTTACATTTCAATGTAGTTCTAAACATCTTGATTTAGTCAACACTGATGTTTGGGGTCCTGCTCCTATTTTGTCCTTTAACGGCTATCGCTACTTTGTGCTTCTAATTGATAATTTTTCTTCATTCACATGGATTTATCCCATTAAGCAAAAAAGTGATGTTATTCACGTTTTTAAGCAGTTCAAAGCTCTCGTAGAAAACCAATTTGGCACCACTATTAAAAGGTCAACTCTGATTGGGGTGGTGAATTTCGTCATTTAAATTCATTCTTTAAGGATGTAGGTATTACTCATCATCTAGCGTGCCCTCACACTCATGAGCAGAATGGCACTGCTAAATGCAAAATTCTTCACATTGTTGACGTTGGCCTTGCTCTCCTTGGTCATTCTAGTACTCCTTTCTGATTTTGGAACTTTTCCTTTGAAAATGCTGTTTTCTTGATTAATCACCACCCTAGTAAACCTCTTCAGGGTCAAATACCCTTTACTACACTATATCACCAGTCACCTGATTATACCTTTCTTCGTGTTTTTGGCTGTGCTGTCTATCCTCTTCTTCGCCCATATAATCGGCATAAGTTTTCTTTTCGCGCTACTTAGTGTGTTTTTCTTGGGTATTCTCCATCTCATCTTGGTTATCGCTGCTTTGATGTGGTGAATAATCGTCTTTATGTTGCTCGTCATGCCGAGTTTGATGAGCAACTGATTCCCTTTAAACGTCCCATCTCCAGTTCTCAATCTTTTCTGCTGGAGTCCCCTGCCACCCCTTGGTTGTGTGTAACCAGTTCTCCTGGTATATATGCGTCGAATCCTACACCCGTTGCTTCTCCTCCTATTTCCCCCATTCCTATGGCCTCTTTACCCAGATCTCTTGGTCCTTCTGCGTCGCCAGCATCTTTACCTAGTTATCCAGTATCCAATTCCCCATCATCTGAGCCCAATTCTCCTCCGCCACCTCCTCCTCCTCCTCCTCCCCATCCTCATTCCATGGCACTCTGTCCTAACACCAAGCCCAAGAAGATCTTTGATCCCTCTGCTCATCTTGCCTCTATGTCACCACTTCTACCAGTTGCTCATACATCTTTCACTCTAGCCAAGTCTATTCCCCAGTGGCAAAATGCCATGAAGGATGAAATCTCTGCTCTTCTCAAAAATAACACCTGGACCTCAGTTCCCCCTCATTCCTCCGGTAATGTTGTCGGGAGTCGATGGCTTTAAAAGATTAATACTCATGTTGATGGTTCCATCGAGCGATATAAGGCTCGGTTGGAGGCTCGAGGTTTCAGATAGCCTTTTGGGGTTGATTACACAAATACTTTTAGTCCAGTTGTTAAGCCAGTCACTGTTTGCTTGGTTTTGACAGTTGTCTTAGCTCGTGGATGGTCAATTTCTCAGCTTGATGTCAATAATGCCTTTCTTAATGGTGTTCTGAGTGAAACTGTCTATATGGTTCAGCCTCAGGGTTTTGTTGATCCGGTGCACCCTCATTATGTGTGTAAGCTGCATAAGTCCTTATATGGGCTTAAGCAAGCTCCTCGGGCCTGGTACTCCTGGTTGGCTGCGTTTCTAGTCACCTTGGGCTTTGTAGAATCTCGTTGTGATCCTTCCTGTTTGTGTATCATTGTTGGTCTCAGTTTTGTTTTCTGCTAGTGTATGTGGATGACATTATTATTACTGGTAGCACTTCTAGTTTGGTTCAACATCTTATTTCTTGTCTTGCTAAGGAGTTTTCTTTTCGTGATTTGGGTCTTTTGAGTTACTTTCTTGGTGTCGAGGTTCATCGCACTTCTAGGGGTTTGCTCCTCTCTCAGCTCAAGTATGTTAAAGATTTACTACGGCTTACCAATATGCATACTTGCAAGCTTATTTCCACTCCTATGCAAGCTGGTGCTGTGTAGCCTCGTTTAGATGGTACTTTGCTGTCTCCTGATTATGCGTCTACCTATCGCCGACTTTGTGGTAGTCTGCAGTATACGACTCTCACCCGACCGGATATTTATTTTGCGGTTAATAAGCTTTGTCAGTTCATGTATGAGCCTCGCACTTCTCATTTGCAAGCTCTCAAACGGATCCTTCGGTATCTTCGTGGCACCGTTGATTATTGTTTGGTTCTGTATCCCACTGATTTGGGCACTCTTACTACTTTTAGTGATGCTGACTGGGCTGATTGTCCAGATGATCGTCGTTCTACTACTGGTTTTCTCCTTTATTTGGGATCTAATCTCATTTCCTGGGCATCTTGAAAGTAGCCCAGTATAGCTCGCTCGTCTACTGAGGCTGCGTTTCGTGCGATGGCTAATGTCTTTGTTGAGCTACAATGGGTGTGTCATCTGTTGTCTGAGTTAGGTGTTTCATTATCGTTCTCCCTCTATTTGGTGTGACAACAGTAGCACTGTTGTTTTTGCTGTTAATCCTGTGTTTTATGCCCGTACCAGACATGTTGAGGTGGATTTTCACTTTGTTCGGGATCATGTTCGGCAGAAGTTTGTTTCGGTACATTCTGTGTCTGCTGCTGATCAGATTACTGACATTCTGACCAAGCCCTTGTCCTAGGATTTATTCCTTTGTTTCAGGAACAAACTTCGACTTCTCTCTTGTCCGCTGTCAGTTTGTGGGGACGTATTGTAATATATTTATTTACTATAATAGCCTTGTGTATAGGGTTTTGTTACTGTCTATATATAGCTTGTATATTGTATATCATAATACGATGAAATATAAGGGAGCGACTACAGTCCAGTCGACTGAACGGTTCAGTCATTAATAATAACCATAGGATGATCCAAAATAATATTAGTCATTCGATTTAAGAGGAGGTATTCTCAAAACAAAATACACCAGTTAACAGGATATAATTTCTTGCAATAACTAATCACCTATCAACGTTCATTACCAGGGAAGAAAACATTTTTTTACCATAAATTTTACCCCCTTAAGAATAAGAGTTCAACCAATATCATCAACATCTCTGGTACTTCTATTGTTTGTCAAACAAAACATACACTACAGAGGGGAAAAGATTTCAGTTCACTTGAAGAACATCTCACTGCGTGTCTAAGCAATCGCAGGCAATAAAATTGTAAAATTAGAATTATATTAGAACTCTGTTGGTGGCTCATCTAGGAAGGATTATGTCAAGAACTTTTGCTCTTTCCAAAACTCTAACAAATAGAACCTAAAGACTGGAAAACGTTCACTAGTCGATATGAAATATGCGGTTTGAGAAATATATTTCCGCGGGCAGATCGTGATCATATTATTGTTGATAGAGGCCTTATGGAGGTATCAAACAAGCAAAAATCAAAAGGTCTAAATCCGGGTTGCTATATTAAAGAATATAGTTTTAGATTATTGTTTGATGTGGGGAAAAATTATGTTTACAGAAGGAAGAATAAAAAGAATCTAGTTTTAGATTATTGTTTGATGTGGAGAAAAATTATTTTTGCAGAAAGAACAATCCATCGATGGATATGCATATTTTTGGTTGGTGGGAATTTCTCAATGCAATGTAAGCTAAAGTGTTTGTTGATCATTTGTTTTCTTATTTCTAAGCGAAAAGGGTTATGGATTGAATTTTGGCCGAATTTTATTTCTTTGAACCAGGAACAGCACTACCTTTCAAAAATGAATTGAATTCCGGATTTTTTCGTCAAAGGAATTTGGATCGTTGGTCCAACTCATGGTTTCAGTTCGATTAAGATCAACAAAATCGTTTTACAGGAAATTTATGGTGGCAGAAAAAGTTAAAATCGATTTAAACGGAATTCATCAAATTGAAGCAGAAAGAGCCAAAGAGGGAGTGAGAAGAAACGGGAGATGATATTGAGACGTAAAACGAGAGATCTGTTAGTTGTTGTTTTTTTTTTGTTTTTTTTTTTATTTTTACTTTAGGTGAAAAAAATAAAATTCCTTGATTAGGATTTGCTAAACTACATCTCACCTCATAATTATTTTATACACATTAGATTTTGATTGGTTATACTTAAACTGAAAGGTTCAGTTAAAAAACAACGACTGGACTATAGAATTTTCGGAAATATAATCCCTGTTATTCTAACTATGATTATATGAATTAAGAAAGAGAACATAGTCAAACAATGTGATCAATGAATGCATTATGAAGTTTATATAAGTTAAGTGGGTTGGTTACGAAATGATTACAAGTGGCTTAACTATTATTGTAGTTTTAATTTGTAAGCCATTGTACTTGTTCCAATAGTTGGAGATGCCATAGTTACATTAATTATCTACACATACAAGGATAAAGGAAGGCTGAAAACGTAAAAGGCTAGAGAGATAGAAAGAGTTGTCTCACGTTTTGAATGTCAAGTGTTTGATGATTAAAATTGCCCAAATATTGAAGGGATGTCCTAGCTGTTGTGATTAAACATAAGATATCTACTACGAGCTAAATTTTATGGATGCTTATTGAGTATTTTTAGTTTCAATTGGTTCTGGATGCGTTTTATAAATTAATTGATTTTTCTGTTTAATTCAAAACCGTGATTACGATTTAATTAGAATTTATTTTTACTACGTAATGTATTAATTTCATGATTAATGAGGGAATGCCGAAATGGATGTATATACTTCCATTTAAACTTTTATAAATATCCAACCATATACACAAAAACTAAAAAACAAATTTATTTTGTTTTTCCAAGGAAAGCTTACTAGAAAATTTATTTTTCCAATGGTGCAAGCCTAATAACCAAGATCGACATTTTCCTTACTCAAAAAAAAAAAAAAACTAAAAATAGGTTTTGCTATCTGGATGATGCTGGAATATCTGGTTGGTGAACTGATCAAGAGGGTTGTGATGACGACTCTCTTCCTCATCATCTTCTTCTACTACTTCCCGAGGGGCTCGGCCGGCGGCGGCGCCTGTGAGATGTACAGGGTCAAAAGTGCTATAGCAAGGCGGCGCCACCACGTCTCCTCCACTGCCGAGGTCAAAATTGGAGGTGGTGTTGCAACTGTTGATGTTCATGAGGTTGTTTGAAGCTGAGGAGGTGTTTGAATAAGCTGGCTGTAAAGCAACTGCAATTTGTTGGTGTTGAATTGCTTGTGAATCCTGGATTGCATTTGCCATTGCATATCTACTGTTTATGAGTTGTGTTTGCACCATGGATAACTCCGCTTGTAGAGATGCCACCTACAAATTCATAAAGAAACCAAATTATTAAAAAACAAGGAAAAAAAATTGATAAATCATGACTTTTTGTCTTCACAAACCTTTTTATGGAAGTTGGCAATTAAAATTTTAAAAGTATCAGCTGAAAAGCACAAAAATCATAGCTCCAATTATGTGTGTACCGTTTAAAAAAAAAAATCGTCATAAGAAGACTCTATTTATAAGACGGAGTATGTTACAGAGCAATAAAAGAAAGAAAAAGATTAATCAAATCTCCACATACTAGATCTCTGAATTTGACGCACTAATTTTGGGTTTTCAAATTTTCTTATTTCTTCATGTCAATTCGGAATTGTACAAGTTTTTGATTAATCGATCAATACTGATTTATGAATTATTACTACAATTTATTCTTTGCCTAGACCTTCAAAGAATCAAAGCAAATTCGCTTTACCGAAATCCAACATCATAATCACTATACATTAATCTGGTATAATCCTTACAAAGAACTAAAAATGTTTATGGACGAATAATAAATCCAAAGCAATACATATATTAATAATTAAATAGAGATCAAGTATTACTTCTTTTGCATGTCACTTTATTGAGTTCACAACAAAAAAAAAACGGACTTAATTAATTAATGAAACCTGTTGTTGCAAAGCAAGAATGGTTGACACACAGCCATAAACAGGATCGGAAAGCCTAGCCTGAGCCTCATACGAGATGGTAACCACGGCATCGTTCCGGCGATGCTCCGGTATATGAAGCAAAAGTTTGGACACGTTACTGGCTCCAAACACTTTATGAACCGCAGCGAACCTAGCCGCGCCCTGATCCGACCCGAAATGTGGTGCAAAGATACACCCACTAATGCATTTCCTCCTAAGGAACTTGCATGCACCACACGGGGCAGTAGTCGCGGCCTGACCCGGAGTGTGACCGGAATTATTTCCCGATCCTTCCCCGCCTCCTACATTCTCCGATGATGGAACATCGATGGCGGTGTTACCGCTACCGCGCTTTCCACTCGACGAGCACCCCTTTCGCCTAGTCTCCGATGATGACGAGGTTCCATGACCATTAATCATAGGGATATAATTAATCAAGAAAATTAAGGTGAGATTATCCAAGAGGGAAAGATGAGATTAATTAACTCAATTGAGGAGGTTATTAAAAAGATGGTACAAAGAGAAACGGAACGGAGAGCACGGAACCCTTGTGAAGAAGGATTGTGGTGAATGTGTGACAGGAAGGAAAGATTAGTGCTAGTGCTAATTTGGACGTTTATATGGTGTGTTTTTTCATTTTTGGGCTTTAAAGAAGGGCACTTTTTGGTGTGAGTTGCACATGCAAAGAGAGTGTTTTTTTTTCCTAATGAGCATTTCTTTCTTTTTGTTACACTACTTCTACTAAACATTTTGTTCTAATATTTTTTTAGTCATTGGATTTGGATTAAGATCGTTGTAATAATTACTTCCGAGACATAATTAAATTAAATAAAACCTTTTTTTTTTCAAAAACAATTGATTAGTGTGTAAAAAGGAGTTTGTTAGGGGATATTTGGGGGGAATGGCTGGCTTGTCCTCATGGTGAGGCACAACAAGATTTGTGCTGCCCGTGGCGTGTGGAATGTGTAGAAACATAAGCAAATATTGTAACAATTTTTTTTTTCCCGTAAAGAAAAGATATGTATTAGTACTTATTTTTTCGATGTGCGAAGTAAAAGCTAGCATTACAACAGCATTATATAGCTGCTTTCTTAATATCTTAATTAGCAAAAAAGCCAACAAGTACACCACTAACATCACCAACTAGTCCTACTAAGTTCATGTACACTTGTTACGTGTGCTTTGTTGTACTTAAGATTATAATTGATTTCTTTGCCTTCACTTTTGAAGTAAAGCCAGCAGTTTGCAACCTCAATCCTAATTTTAATTTTAATTTATTTTTACGTTTCTATTGCGATGCCTCTAATCTATTGAAAAACCTTCTTACAATAAGCTAATATTTTACTCCAAAATTAAGATAGATTTGTCTCCAAGTTGGTTACTTTTTGGACCCTACTAACAAAATTAAGTTGGGATACATAAAATTTTAAAAAAAAAGAGTTGGGATGATGCATAAAGAATGAGAATCCAAAAATATGGCTATAACTTAGCGATTGTGATGATTTTTGTTCTTTATAAGCACTTAAAATGAGATATGAAATGAGTTTTGAGAAGAATAGTTTTGATAAATATATTTCTGTCAGTCACCATCGTACGACCATATGCACCTTGACCGCCCAGAGTTAACGTGCGTGGAAGTGATAGAATGAAATACTACTTGAATATATATTCCAAAAACATATTTTACAAAGAAAGATGATAGTCCGAATTATATAGTTTATATAGTTCTTTCATCTAACAAGGAAAAAAAAAAGTTTTGAGTGTATCTTTGATCTGATATGATCACAAGTGTGATTACAAATTTGTGCAACATATAATTGGATTATTTCTCGCCTGAATTGTGATCCGAAAAACCTACAATTAAAAAGAAATTCAAAGTTCGATGGGAGGAAACCAAACCCCCCACCAAAAAAAAGGCCTTTATCCAAAGTCAACAAAGATGTTTCTCAACTCTCCATATATCTCAAATCTTAAATCTTGAAGAATGTTGAATTGCTGATCATGATTATTTCACTAATTTAACTAATTCACTGGCCTCTGATGATAAAAATCAATCATGAATGCATATGTATCCTCGACATCTATGTTTCTCGTTCATCAAATTGGAAATAAAACCAGCCAACTTTTAGAATAAAAATAAAAGAATCAGCAAACATTATAATATCCTTGGGGTAATATTCAGTGGCCGAGTTAAAATTTTAGTAAAGTAGGGGCAAAAATCTAAACAAAAAAATTAAAGGGGTGAAAATGCACAAAAATTTTTTGTACAGCCAAATATATATATATATATATATATATATATACATACATACATATATCTTACTATATTAGAAACAAAATCACACTTAAGAGAAAGCACCACCATTTACCATGTGGCATTTCCACATCATATTTTTAAAATAAATTTTTATTTCCACATCTCCTAAACTTAAAAGGCAAATGCAGTCCAAATTTATTTTCACCTCCTAAATTTGTCAAAACAAACAAAAAAAAAAAAAACTACGGGTTCATAAAAAACCCAAATCCTCATCCCCATCGCCACGACAATCAATCTCTTCTCCACAATTAAAAAAAAAAAAAAATTCCTCATCAATCATCAATTGAGAATATGTGGTGAAATATACTCCTTTCCTATTAACATGTTCAATCTTTTCATTAGTGATGATCAACTATATCCTAATCGGATAAAATTTTAACTTCAAAAAATATTCTCTTTACCTCTCTATATAAACACAAAGGAAAAAAAAAAATTTCTGATTGATCTTGCTTCGGCCGTTGTGGTGGTGCCATTATAGGTATTAAAATTTAAATGATTTTATTTTCATAGATAATTGGTTTGGCTTTTATTAATTTTTATTTTTCTCGTTCAAGAATAGTGTTATTACTATTATTTTTATGCGTCCATCTGCTACAGCTACCGGAGCCGTTGTCAGGTAGTATGATGTGATTTCTTATTTGGTTATTTAGTCTAGAATTTTTGTATGATTTTAGTTATGTTTGGATTAAATTGATTGATTGAGTTTTTGTTACAAAGTGTGGTTTCTCAAATTTGTTTTTTATGTTTCATTCAATTAGAGTGATTTTCTTTTTTTGTAATTACGGAGTCTCAGGTTTTTTTTTCGTATATGGCCAGTTATGAAGTGTGTTTTTTCTTTGTTTAATTGTTTTTTATTTTGTTTCATACTCCCAGTTGACCAATTATTATTATTATTATTATTATTATTTTATTTGCAAATGAAGCACGTTTTTTTTTTGTTCGGAGTTTCAAGAATATACTTTTTTGAATTTGGTTTTTGGACTTTTTTTAGTTCCTCATCATATAAATAGTTCAGGTCACTTCTTTTAACTAATTTATGGGGAAGACTTTTATGAATTTGAGGTGGAGAGGGAAGGAATGATGTTTCTACGTTTATTTGTGTTTTTATACATTATTTTTACTTACAGAAAAAAAAATAAAAATTCTCAAATTTTAATGGGCTATCTTTTACTTTTTTTTTATTTGCCATGGTGATGTGAGTTCTTTTTTGCTATATCTTGAAACCTATGCAAATTTACATTATTTTCATTCTCATATTTGTGATCAACCAGTTTCAACAATTAACAGTATCAAAATCATATTTTTGATATTTTACTACCTATAAACTTTTGGAAGAAATAGTTCCAACAATTAAGCGTATACCCTTTTTAGGAAGCTAACTACAAAGTTATTATAAATCTCCAAAACTAAGTATTGATTTGGCATAACCAATGGAGAACATCAATAAATTATCTTACTAATATTTAAACTTATTAGGATACTTTTATATTTTTTCTAGCATTTACTTCAAGACATATATTTGATCAAGTTTATTTATATTTAAAAAGTAACACTTATAAAATATTTCTAAAATCTTCAAACATTTCTAAAACGTACCGGGCTAAATACAATTTATTTTTATGCCAAATACAAACATCACACTTATAAAATATTTCTAAAATTCTTCAAATATTTCTAAAATATATCGGGCCAAATACAAAATATTTTTTTTTCCAAATACAAATATTTCTAAGATCTACAGATATATTGGGCCAGGATCGCGCATTACGCGACCAGATATCACTAGTGTATATATATATATATATATATATATATATATTCATGAATTTATACTAAGTTTTAAAGTGTCTTTCATAAAATTAAGAAAATAATTCAGGAAGTGGGGCTACTGCACCTACTAGTCCCCTTTTTCTGCCACTATTAATAGTTGCGGCACGAGGTTTTAGTGATGGTGCGATTAACAAAGAAGGAATGTTTATCATGCTAAGGTTTGCACTGTTCAATTGTTCAAGTGGAATTTTTTTGGACACGTGTAAATGAAATTGTAACTTGTAATTGTTAAAAAAATAAACAAGGACCTTATTGTTTTGGTCAAACTACCAAATATAATCTGTGTGTTGCAGCACGACGGTTTTCAGCATACAAAAAATGAATTTATCTTATAAAAATCATGAATTTGTACTAATTGTTTGACTATTTCTTTGTATCAATCAATCGTAGCTGAATGATTTCCAGTAAATGAATGAAAGTATTATTTTATATCAAAAAAAATACCGGATAATTAATGAAAGAAATAAATCAAACTCAAAATGAAACATTGGCCACCAAGATCATAAAAGAGAAATTACAACAATTTTGCATTAAACGTTGCAATTAGTTATGGCCCTCACAACCTTGAAGACGTGTTATGGAAGAACTGAAGAAGTGTGTCAATGGGACGACCATGCGCATTCCACATACTAATTGGTCCTTTTTTTTTATTCTACTTAGTACTATGTCCGTGCGTTGCACGATTTTTTAAAATATTTTATGTCATTTTTAAATTATTAATTAATAATGATTTATAACCGCGTAATTATTCACAATTTATTTTTTTATAAAAGGGATAAGATCATAATTTTTTTTTATTGAAAAGAGAATAATACTTGGAAGACTTGTAAGGATAAACATATTCTCCAGATTTCAAGTCTATGTTTGTCATACCGGTGTGAGGTGATGGTTTACTGCCTCTTACTGTGATTTTTTTTCAATTAGAAATTTAATGACTTGTGATATTAATTAGTGTCACGAGAAAATTATTTTATCTTTAATAATAAAAAAAGAAGAAGAGATAATCATAACAAGTAGAATAAACTGTACATATGATCTTTTTTACATTTGTCAAAAAAATTTAATTTGGTCCTTTACGTTAAAAATTCACTGAATTGGTCCATTACATTTGTCTTTACACTAATTTAGTCTTCTTTTTTTTTACACTTTACATTTGGTGATTCTTGGGTTGACCCATTTATTAGTCACATCATCAGGGCTACTTTTGGTAATGTCTAATTTACAAAAATAATATTCAAAATTGATTAAAATAATGTTAAATATATCATACTAATTTATAATTAATTTTAAAAAATTTAATTTTTTTCCAAAACCATATTTCTTTTTTTTATCCCATGGTTCCACATCCAGTATCTTATTATTGATCTTATTTTTTTTTAAAAAAAACTTTTTTCTCCATTCCACCGGTTAAACACTTCATCTTTCCCAAACCCCGTCCTCGATGTGTAGAAAAAAAGTTAAAAAATAAGGTT